AGGACTTTTTCCTATTAGATCAATGTCATAAGAAGTTGAAATCATCTTTTCAAATTTCACTGGACCTGGTAACATAATGTTCAAGGCCAGGGAAGACTGCAAAGAAGCTCTCTGAAGAGTCTGAAGGAAAAGTGAACTATTTCCTTTGTTGTTGGCGTGCCGGCTCTTTCTCTTCTTCATACTTTTTTTGTATGGGGAGAACATTAAGTGCTGTCACCCATCCATTGTGAGCTGGTGATAGACTTCTTGTTCACTATGAAAAGGAAAACATTTTACTTGTCAAAGTATTAAGTATTAGAACTAAAAATTTTATATATAGCTCTCAAAAGGGCCCAGAAAAAAAATTGGTTTTGGCTGTTATTTATAAAACTATTTCGCACGGCCCCTAAAGGAGGTTTTGCAGCAATAAGCGAAACACAATTATTCCAAGCTGCCACAAATGATGTTTGTGTAGACGGATGTGCACGTGAAAATAAAAAGGCTGATGCTGCTCTTAAAATATGACTGAATTCTCAGAGTAAAACATTCAGAGTCATGAAAATTTTATTAATTAAAAAATGACAAGGAAGGGCCAGGGAGATGACTCAGTAGGATAAGCGCTTGACTGGCAAACGCAAGGATCTGAGTTCAATCCCCCATTCCGCAAAAAAAAAAAAAAAAAACCAATGACAAGGGCCAGCCCAATAGCTCAGCAGACTAAAGCACCTGCTTAGACACACACAGGGGCTGGGGTTTCATCCCTGGCCTGCCCTGGGGCACACTGTAATGGCAACTGAGACTGGACGTGGTGGTGAGTGCCTGTAATCCCAGTACTTGAGAGCTGAAAACAGGAGGATCACTACGAGTCCAATATGTGTAGTGAGACCCTGTAGACCCTGTACTAAATACATTTAAAAAAAAAGACAATTCTAGGAAAAATTGATGAATAAAAAATGACCCTAAATAACTTAACCATTAAATATCTATAATGATAGACTAGTTTTTCTAATTATAACTCTTTATTAACTTCAAAAAACTTAAAACATCAAGCCAATATCTGGGTCTGCTGTGCCAGCCCTGCCCCTGGGGCCCGGAGATGGCAATCGAGACTGGGCTTGGTGGCATGTGCCTGTAATCCTAGCTCTTGGGAGGCTGTAAACAGGTGGATCACTATGAGTCTGATCTAGTAGTGAGACCCTGAACACCCTGTAGATCCTTCCCTAAAAAAACTACAAAAAACAAAAATCAAGCCAAACAAATACAATCCATCAAAACTCTCAAGAGACAGCTATCTGACTAGGTCTACAGCTATTACATAATTCAATGATTATTAATTTTCTAAAATAGAAGTACCAGGCTTAGATGGCTCACTGGTGAGGCCTACCACACATTTAAACAAGAAATTATACCAATTCTCTATAGTCTCTTTCAGATAGCAGAAGCAAGAGAAATACTCCCTAATCATTTGAGGCTAGCATTACCCTATTACCAACCCATACAAAGGCTTAAGAGAACTATACACCAGTATTTCTCATGAACACAGATGTAGAAATTCTCAACAAAATATCAGTAAATTGAGTTCAGCAATGTATAACTATACATTAAAATGAATTGGGATTTAACTTAAGTGTGCAAAGTTAGTTTGAAAATTCACAAATGTAATTCATCAAGTTGAAATCTGAACGAGGACAACTGCGTGATTATATCAATAGGCTCAGATCAAGCAAGTGACAAAATCCAGGACCTACCAATGATCAGAATTCTCAGGAAAAAAAAAACAACTCAGTAAACTATGAAGTGGGGAGCTTCTTCAAGTTCATTAAAAAGTGGAAAAGCCCTATTGCTAGCATCATCTTCAACAATAAGAAACTAGAAGACTGCCTAGTAATTCAAGACAAGCATGGACCTCTCTTCTCATTTCTTTCTAACACTGCACTGGAAGTCCTACCTAGTGCAAAAAAAACCCCAAAAAACAAGAAAAGAAAATACGAGGAATACAAATTGGGAATGGAGCAATAAAGCTGCCTTTGTTTATACGTGACACGATCATTTATGTAGAAAACTGAGCAATCACAGCAAAGTTATAGGATATGAAATTAATACACAGAAGTCCAGTTTTCCTACACAACCACAAGAAGAATTTGAAATTCAGAATACAGTACCATTTTTATTAGCACCAAAAATATTTGAGAATAACTTAAAGAAAATAGATAAAACTTTTATATGAGCAAAACTATAAAACACTCGTGAAATATAAAAACAAGCCAAGTAAACAGATATAATACGCATGCACAGATAGGAAGATTCAACATTGTCAAGATACCAGTTTTCCCCAAATTGATTCAACAGCTAGCTGAACACAATCCTAATAAAACTTTAGCAAGTTATTTTGAGGATACGAATAAACTAAAATTTATGTGGACAAGCAAAAGAGAACAAAGTCAAAATAATGTTGAATAAAATGGAAAGACTTGAGACTAAAGTTATCAAGAAAATGTGGTATCGGGCTGGGAACAGAGATAGCTTAGGGGCATAAGTGCCTGCCAGGTAAGTGCAAGCTCCCGAGTTTGATCCCCGGCACCAAAAACAAAGAAAATGTGGTATTGATAAAAGAATACACAAATAAGCAAAGACAATAAAATGGAAATAATGATATTTTAAAAATAAATAGTGCTGGAACAACTGCATTTTTACAAAAATTTAAACGATCTACTCATCACAAATATTAACTTAAAATCAATCATGGAGCCAAATGTAAAACATAAGACTTCCAGGGGCTGGGGAAATAGCTCAGTGGAATAAGTGCTTGCCTGGCAAGTGCAAGGTCCTGAGTTCAATCCTTGGTACCACAAAAACAACAACAAAAAAACATTGTATAAATTTAATTCTGGGGCTGGGGAGATGGCTCAGTAGAGTAAGTGCTTCACTGGTAAGTGCAAGGGCCTGAGTTCAATCCCCTGTTCCACCAAAAAAAAAAAAAAAAAAAGACTTCCAGAAAATATCATAGGAGAAAATCTAGATGATCTTGGAATTGGCAGTGAGTTTTTGAAATACAACAGCCAAACCATGATCCATGAAAGAAGTATTAAGCAAGTTAGACTTCATTAAAACTAAAAATGCTTAAACATTTCTACTCAGTGAAAGACACTGCTAAGAGAATGAGAGAAGCCCCTAATCGGAAGAAAGTATTTGCAAGAGATGTAAATAAAGGATGTAATCCAAAATGCACAAATAATTACTATTTAACAATAACATAATTTCAAAGTGGTCAAAAGACCTGTAACAGATACCTTGACAAAGATAGAGATAGCAAACAAGCACATGGAAAAACGCCTCCTGCTAAGCGACACTAGAGAAATGGAGGAAACACTCCATGCCTAGTACGAGGCCCTAAACCTGGTATGACAGCAGCAGATGCTAGCGAGGACATGGAGCAACAGGAGCGCTCATTCATTGCCAGTAAAAATACAAATGGGTACAGCCACTTTGGGAGACAGTTTGGCAACTTCTTATAAAATAAACACTTTTAACCGTACAAGCCAGTAATACTCAAAGTAGTTCATAACTTAGTTTCACACAAAAACTACATTATGGATGCTTGTCAGTTTTACTCCTAATTGTAAAAACTCAGAAGTAACTAAGACGTCCTTTGTAGGCGACTGGATAAATTTTGGTACACCAGGGCGATGGAATAGTGGTCAGCACTAAAGATGAGCTATCGAGCCAGGAAAAGACATGAAAATTCACCTAAAAGAAGCAAATTGACTAGTTAGGCCTGGTGGCACATGGCTATAATCCCAGTCCTCAGGAGGCAGATGTGGGAGGATTGGGAGTTCAAGGCTGTCCTAGACTACCCAGCACACCGTGTCACTCATATATATATATATATAGCTATTGCATGATTTCAACTCCATGACATTATAGAAGAGGTAAAACTATGGAGATAGATAGTAAAAAGTTCAGTGATAGCCAGAGGTTATGAGGAAGAAAGGGATGAATGATTAGACCATGTAGGACTTTCAGGACAGTCAGAAGTTTGTATGCTGGGGAGATAGCTCAATAGAATAAGCGTTTGGCTGACAAGCACAAGGTCCTGAGTTCAATCCCCAGCACCACAAAACAAACAAATAAATAATGACACTTTAATTATGGGTCTGAGGAGATAGCTCAGCAGAATAAGTGCTTGCTTGGCACCTGAGTTCAATCCCCAGTTCTGGCAAAAAAAAAAAAAAAAAAGTTTGTATGATATAGCAATGATTTTTTTTTTAAATTATTTTATTTATTTGTGTGTGTGTGTGGCCAGCTCAGCCCACCAGGGGGCAGGCTGGCTGGCATGTGGTGCTGGGGATTGAACCGCGGTCCCTGTGCTCTGCCAAGCTTGTTCTAAGTAGGTGCTTTAGACCACTGAGCCATCTCACCAGCCCCCATATAGCAATGATTGATATGCATCACTAAAAGCTCTCAAAACCCACAGGATGCACAACACCAACAGAGGACCATGCACCAGGCTATGGCACATCAAGACGAGTTCGTTACCTGCAACTAAGGCACTGCTGTGGCAGGGAATGAGGACAGTGGGGACATAATGCAGGGCGAGGGAATATAGGACTCTGTGCTTGCCGTTCAACTTTGCCATGAAACTAAAAGTATTCTTAAAAAAAAAAAAAGTGCTCTAAAGAAAACAAAACCCATCAAGACATCATAACACATTTTGTAATCATTTTTATTTAAAATATTATAAATTTTATATTGTAATTTTAAAGATACATAATTACTTATATATAATGCTTTTGGTCTAGTTATCCATTACAACACTGTTAGTCCTTGGACCTGCTTTTGTTTCTTTCCCAAAGGCTGGTGCAGGATGTAACTGTCTCCATGAATGGAAGGGGAAAAAATTAAGAATACTGGGTAGGTTCATCCGTGGTCGTCTTTGACGATCTGAGAGGCATTTAGCATCAGGACTGTTATTCGAACATAAACGAGAACAGCTGTGTGAGTGGTCTTCACGTGCGGCTCTACATTAAGGCTCTAAGTGCTACCAAGCTGCACCCAAGGGACTTGGCTACTCGAGAGTCCGCTAAGGTATCATCAATATCCGGCTTCAGACTTCCATTCTTTGAAGTATCTCTCCATTGCATTCCGAGATTTCCAGCTGCCAACATTTACAGTAGGAATGATTTTCTGAGGCTTTAGCCATTGGACAAAATGTTTCATTTCTAGAAAGCTGCTGTGTTCGCTGTAAGGAATTCCTGCAAGAACAGAGAAAAGACACTGCCTAATAAAAGATCAAACTAACAAACTCTCAAGTGTAAAGTAAAACAGAAAAGCAATCCAGAGCATTGTGAAAAGCTCTTTTGCCCTTTAGCACCAATAAAACTTGGCGTCTTTTATAGATAATAAAGTATAAAACATTAAAATAACATAAAAATTTACAATATTAGAGCATATTACTTTTCTGTGTGTTTGGTTAATAATATGCACTTGAAGACAGTCCTAGTGAATTAACATTTTCTCCTTTCTATACATTTAGCTATGGATTTCAGGAAAATCCAGAAGAAATATGAATAAAATATAAGGACTAATAGACAGTAGACTCTTGATTTCTAGAGCAACTAAGCAGATTCTCATCCCAAAATTGTAGTCCCATTTGCGTATATAAAAAATTTAAGGGCTGGGGAGATAGCTCAGTGGTCTAAGTGCCTGCCTGGCAAGTGCAAGGACCAGAGTTCGATCCCTGGTACCTCACGCCATGCTGCCTGAACCTGGGCGCGGTGGCGCAATGCCTATAAGCCCAGCACTGGCGTGGCTGAGACAGGAGGATCACTGTGAGTCTGAACTGTGTACTGAGACCTTATACCTAATAAATAAATAAATACAATTTAAAAAAGAAAACAAATGAAATCCTAGGAGTACGTTTATTTTCTTTAGCAAAGATCAAGTACCATAGAGAAAGGTTGGAGGGATCCTGTGTTGAGCAATCTAGGGCCTTCAGAAGCTAGTGTGAGCTACTGGCTGCATGTCACCAAGCATGTTCTGGCAGCCACTAGGGGACTGAGCTGGCCGGAGGGCAGGGGTGATGTCCTCAAGAGACCAGAACAACAAGGTCGCGTTCCTCCTCCTGTCACTGTAGCTAAACATTCCTCTTCTTCCTGCCTGCAACCTCAGGGTGTCACTGAGATTTAGTTACTGTTTCAGACTTCCACAGAACCTTCACTTTCAAAGAATTCTACCAAGTCCTCTAAGTACCACTGAGGGAAGAAACGAGATGATCCGCTTCAGCCAGCATTTACTGCTCCCATGCATCAGTCCGCAAGGGGCCAGACAGAGGCTGAGAAATGGAGTGAGAGTCAAGATTTGAATTGTCAAATTATTGGCTCTTTTTTTTTAACATTTAATTTTTGTTATTTATTTTTTTGGAACAGGAATCAAACTCAGGACTTCGCGCTTGTCAGGCAGGTGCCTGTGCCACTGAGCTACATCCCCAGCCCCTGAATTATTATTCAGTAAATTATTTTTCTTGTGCCTCAGTTTTTCAACACTTTTTAAAACATAGTAATTATCAACATCAATACTGAGAAGAAGGCTTAAGAATTATACCATATATTGAAATATTTCCTTTGGTCTGGGGAGTGACATCTGCTATGCTCATTAACTTGTTAGAATGGGTCCATCCCGTAGGTCGAAAAGCCAAAATCTGGTCGTATTTCCCACTGTACTTCTTCAAGTGACTTTGTAAACTCTGTTCAATAAAAATAGCATACTGAGTTAACGGTAATGGTCACGGGTAAATGGTAAAGTTATGAGGAATTAAATGACTAAAGATATGATGCCAGCAGTCACAGGGAGTTCTTATTTGATAAGATCAGTTTGCAACAATCTCATGCCATATTTTTAAAGAAATAAAAGTCACTAGAAAAAAAAAAAAAACTTCACTTATCTAAACAAACTTAGGCATTATCTGAAAAAGTATAATGAAGTAACCTGAAGAATAAGTCATTATGCATAAGCGAAGTGTGATTCAGATAGCTTAAAAAACCCACATAAATCCGACTACTCAAAGACTAACGTCCACAGTGGTAACGTCAATGCACGTGTGGGACCACACACGCAAACTCACAGCGGATGGAGACACAGAGCTGGCAAGAAACGTACCGTACTCAACAGACACGCACTTTACAGATGTATAATGGTGTTCTCCTCGGGCCTTTGTTCCTTTTAGTCTTTTTGATATAAAGTAGATTAATTTTCAAACTCTTTATGCCACTACAATTGGAAATGCTATGCTCCTCTCATGAATTTTCAATAGAACTTCTCCACACTAAAGTCATAATTAATGATGACATTTGATAAAACTCAAACTCAATGACCAAAGGTCAGTCTTTGAAACCTAAGAGAAATCCAATTAAAGATAACGGTGCCATAAGGAATTAAAAAAACAAGAGTCTAATACTTTTGGTTTTAAGATCAAAAATCAAAATCAGTTTCAAAGGCTTAGAATGAATTAATGATAAAATTCACTTCATTATGAACTAACAATCCTTTGATTTTTCTCTTATATCAAACAATAACCTCTCACTAATTTAAAGCCAATAAAAGACTATCTAGCACAAAAGCCAATACTAGAATATACAAAATGATTTCTAACTGTTAGGTCCATGAAAAGAAAAGGAAAAACAAAAAAAAAAGGAAATAAAAGAAAACAAATGAAACGAAAAGAACAGAACCTTGGAGGCAAGTTTCCATTACAAGGTCGCTGGGTCTGCAAACTCTCTAGTTCTTGTCTTGGAAGTCTGAGCCCTAGCTAATACGCTATTATTTGCTTAATTGTTATTCCTTTTCACTTTGGCCTCACAGATAAAAGGAAAATAGTAAGACTGGTCTAATGTGATTATGCATGTAATGCCATGAACTCAAGAATACAGTTTTCAAAATATGCCATCAAGTTTATTCATGGCTGTTTCTCTTCAAAAGCACCCAGTGGTGGGGCTGGGGATGTAGCTCAGGGCAGCCGAGCGCTCGTCTAGCATGTGTGAAATCCTGCGCTTCACTCCCAGTAACACAAAGCCCAAGCAACTCGGTATAACTAAGTATCTGGGGGAATTAATGGACAATTAATTTTGTTTTTTATGAGTTACTACAAAAACACGTACCACAGCCTATGCTACAAACAAAAACTTATGGGGCCAGCGAGATGGTCAGTAGAATAAGCTCTTCCCTGGCAAGCGCAAGGGCCTGAGTTCAATCCCTGGTTCTGCCAAAAAAACCCCAAAAAACCCACAAAACAACAACAACAAAAAACTTATGAAGTTATCATATCAGTGAAGCCTACAGAAAAGACCACCACAAACCACAAGGTGTCCATTTTCTACAATATAAGAACCACTCTCACAAAGAAATTTATTACAAGCAGCTTAGTCAAAACGAAGTCCCTAATCTGTGACTGTTTCTCTCAGTTTATTACCAACAAGTTTATGAGAAAAATGCTCTTGGCAATGTCGCTATTTTTTCAGCATGCAAATAATCATCTACAGCATTACTGTTCTCAAAGTTTGAGCACATTTAACCCATCAGTTCAGAATCAGAGGCAGCAGCCACGACGAAGAACTGGATGGCGCCAATATGGACGGCAATATGAACTTTAGAGAATGTCCTGAGCACTTGGAAATCCGAAAGTAAGCTGTGCAGGGTCCGAAGCCTTCCCATAGGCACAGCCAGACCCGCCCCGCTCGGCGGCGGCTAGCTCCTCTCACCTGGCGTAACGGGCCCGAGGGTCATGCACGGAGTGCAAGTACCAGCGTCTCATTACTCTTCACACGTGCATGGTACCGTTTTGTGCTTACGTGACCTTTTATTTATGCATTATTTTAGAGGCATCTAAGTTGCTTTTGCTTTTGGATAATGCCACAGACAACTGTGTAGAAACTTTGTGTAAACGTATGTCTTCACTTTTCTTGGGCATATGCGTAAGACTGGGATTGTTAGGTCACATGGTCATCCACATTTAAATTTTTGAGGATTTATCAAACTGTTTTCCTCAGGGAACAGATCTAAGACATTCCTTTCATTTTATCTTGTTTTAAAACACAACAGGTATTATTGATAAGACAAAAACAGTAGTCAGCATCCTATTTCAAAAACCTCCAATAAAGTTACTTCATGGATATTATAGGAAGAGTGAAAACAAATTTCTTTGTGCACTGTGGTCTGTGTTACATTAACACACAGGTTTGACACACTTTCGTTGCCAGGTATCAAAATGTGAGTAAATGGAATAAACCAGCATAAGCAAAGCTGACAGCCAAGCCCTCAGGTCACAGCTGGGTCGGATCGGCCACGTCTCAGTTCACACCTTGGAGCTACAGCTAGCGCTTGCTCTCACCACCTACTCCCACTACCTCATTTAATCCTCGGAAGGAGTAAAGTCTGAATAGATGCCACAGTTACACAGACTTAATGGCAACACAGAATGGAATGATCTTAGGTAAGAACTTACAATTCTTCTCCCATGGCCCTGCTCATTCAGAAAGCCTGCAAAGTGACGTGGACACGGAAGGGCTGAAGGCCTTTGCTGCCGCACTCTTTCCTACTTCTGTTCCTTCCCAAGTGCCAGCTACCTAAGCTCTTGGTGGGCACATGAATTGCTCTGGACAGTCGCACAAACAGAAAAACTAAAAACATTAAAAATTCCCTTGAAAAAATTTTAGGGCAAATTTTACTACTGATGATACTCTTCTATAATTGAATTACTTGGAGTTAAATGCAGGTAAATTGTGATTCTAGTTTCTAATCTCTTGAATGCTTACCTTAAAATTAATCTGCATCATTGGGAGAAGGTGAACCAAAGAATTATACATGTCCGTAGTGATGAGGGAATTAATTTCTGATATATTGAGGCAGCGTAATGTTTTATATTTTTCTTCAGACATGCCCACTTTTGAACCTAAAACATCAGCAATGGCTGTAGACAAAGTGAAAGGTTAAAAATAATAAAAAGATATTTAGTGAAAGAATAAAGTTGTCACTTAAATTTTAAAATAAGAATTTATCAAATAGAAACGCAATTTCAAAACTTTCATTCTCACACCATAGTGCCTCTAAATGAAATATTTTGTTGGTTAACTATGTGGAATAAAATGTGAAAAAGCTAAGGAATTTATTTTTAAATGCCTATTGTAGAAAGGAGTAGGAGGAAAGGAAATACACTTGGGAGAAGTTACAAACTCTGGCGGAATAATTTCCAATTTCAACATCTGATATAATGTAACCACACTTACAAACAAACAGGAGATAGTATGCAAAAATCATACAATGCCTTCTAGACAAACTAGAAATAAATACATACAGAAATGATTGAGGAACAAAACTTAAAAGCTGTCCTGTAAAATAACTGTTGGTTATTCTCAAAGAATAATACTCCTATTAATTAAAATAGAATAATACTCCTATTAATTAAAATAATATAACATGGACATTTGGTTTTAAACATAGATTGTAAAGGCTAAGATAAACACACTTATCAACTATTTTTATAAAGCCTTTCCAAGTTTAAATGTGTCAAGCACACTAAATTTTCCTTCAACTTTGGAGGTAATACTGGATAATTTCAAGAAATGATTGTGAAATGTACAAGCAGAGAGACTGAGGGGGCTTTATGCAAAAAGAATCTGATCTTTATAATATATTAATGTAAATTAGATCCAGCTACCACTCACCGAGGAAGACTTTCTCTTTTCCAATACAGTAAGTGCCACAGACAACCAGAGCGCGGGGGTTTTGTGTTACAGCCTCAAAGGCGGTGTTGATGGCAAACTGGATGACCTCTTGCTGAGACGGAAAGGTGTACTCGGGGCTGCAGTATCTGCAGTGCAGAGACGCGTGCTGACTACAAGAGCCGCGGGAGAGCTACGGCGACTGCAGCTCTAGCCTTCGGCATTATTTTAAACAACAAACTTAAAAAATTATATGCAATAGCAGCATAATATATTAAAAGGCTAAGTCATTTCACTGGAGCAAAAATATTTGTTAAGTTATTGCAATGTATGATGGGTTATAATTTTTCAATGTATCTCTTTAATTATGTTTCTTTTATGAGCCTCAAAAAGGTGCCCTTTTGAAAACATTTTTTCCTCTAAGAATATTTATAGCTAGTCAAGTCTTTTAGTCATAGGTTATAAACCTTAATACATCTTTTTTCTAAACCCCAATCAGTATGTAACAAAATACTCCTGAAAATGTATTTAGATTGAAGAATTCTGATTTAATAAAAATTAAAAGAGAACATGGATTTGATATAGTTTTTAAAATTAATTAATATTCCCATGGATATTACCTCTTCTTACAGACACAGAAATAAACGTAGGGTTACACGAATACAGTAGCTCATTAGGCCTCAATATTATAACGCCAGTTAAGATAGTATCTATATATTTTATGTGAAAGATAAGTACTGCTTCACTACAATGCAATAAATTATAAACACAAAATAAACATTTTCCCCAATTTTCAAAACTGTTTTTGCTAGTCAAATATCAGGAAAGAACAACAACAAAAAAAACCCCTCCAACTTTTCTATAAAAAAACCCACACATATACCAAGAAAATTTATTTTCTTAATTTACCTATTAAGGTAAATATGAAGAATGGAAAAAATCACTTATTGTGAGAAAAATGGTTGTTGAAAGACCATCTTTCACTACAATCTCCCATATAAACATACTTTAACACAGTTTGAAATGCTTAATTAATTTTTAACAAATCAATGAGTTATTTAATTTACAATATTATACTATACATAAACACGTATCATTTTTTTACATGTATCATTTTGATGTCAAGATTACCATAATAAAACTGAGAATATGTGTATGTACTTAAAATATAATGGCTTATATTTATATCAGTGAGGAATTTAAATCTGTGACTTGCATATTATCTTTTGGAGAAAAAAAAAACCTCAAAAACCAAAAATGCAATTTGGCCCTAACTTTTTTCTCTTACCCACTATACCTATTACCCACACAGATGCTTGGGAAGAGTAATCTACGAATGTGTTTTCCTAAAGTCTGCCACTAAATTTTTTTTCCTTCCTTTCAGGAACAGGATTCTGCTATAAAGATTTTCAAAGAGAAGTTCCAAAAATTAAAGCACAGTCGGTACAAGCGATACCAAACTGTCCCTTCGTGAGTATTTTTCCAAACAGCATCCCTCTGATAAGTAGCCTTAAAACAGTAACTGGCAATAAACCACTATCTTAATTACCCAAGCAAATCTTAAATTATTCATTAAAAACCCAGAGCAACTGCTATCAGTGGGAGGAGCGCATTCCAAGGACGTGCTTACGTGGTGTCCAGGTAGAGCACGTGCACTTTCTGGCCTGCGAGGCGAGAACGCGCCATGCTGGGATCTGCCTGGAGGTCTCCAGTGTGCAACACGACGGTGCCATTGGGAAGGTAGCAGAGAATCATAGCAGCCCCTGGACAGCTGAACACAACATTGAGAGGCACGTTTGTTGCATCGGAAAGCACCTACAGGAAGGTATCTGTTCACTATCTATCAGATAATACGTTTTAGTAGCGACCAGGGACACAGTCCTATACTGGAAATGCAACATTTGAACTGGGAAATTTACACCACAAAGAGAAATGGCGTGCAGGAAAGGACTAATTCACCAGGCGGGGGTTTTTCAAACCCTGCACATTCTCGAGAAAGGCTCATCTTTAAGCCTTTACCTTGGTTGCCTCTTGAGAAATACGAACTAAGCCCTAGGAATATTTTGTATGTGAAGAGTATTTTATGTTCCTGAGGCATGAGCTAAGTCATTCCAGCTCGATCCATAGTTTATACTATGTGATTTATTGTGAATATCTCCATAGAATTGGCTTAAAAAAAAAAAATTCAGAACTCAAGTTAGGGACCAAAAAAAGAAATAGCAAAGTGAGCAGGTAAAATGAAAAACAATGTGAAGTAACAGCACTCGCCTGTGTTTTAGGAAACCTAGATTTAGCATTTTCCTTTCTCTAAGTACCTATCACTTCTACCGGACAGGAAGCTGACAAACATATTAGCAGTAGAAAGATGCATAATTAATAGTCCTGTTTTGGCAACATGAATGCTAATAACACTTTACATTAGAAGGGTGGGTGGGGGAAGGAACTAATTTTCAAGAAAAAACATCTTCCAAATATTGGGTGGCCAAGTCTGAAGGCTTTCTTAGCCTACATGCAGTGGGTTAGAGGCAGAGGGACTCGTATATAAATGGGGCACAAGCTGTTAACTTACGTAAATATTAAAGAAGATGGCAGAAGGTTAGCTGCACACTAGTTTGCATTTGTATCCCCTCTTCCCTGTGCAGTACTGGGACTGAAGCCAGGCCCTTCACACTGCCTACGCCCCCCGCCCCCTCCCCTTTTACTTTTAAGACAAGGTCTTGTGAACTTGCCCAGGATGCGCTCCAACCCAAGATCTGCTGCCCCAGCCGCTGGGCAGGTGCCCTCACACCCAGCTATTAACATGTTTTTAAAAAATAAGTTGGAGTCTCATGTCGAGAGTAGCAATTTCATCCTCTAACACTTGGAAGAGTTCACCATATTTAATCTCTTGATTCTAGAATTGGATAGGTTTTCTTTCTCAAGAGTACAAATCCATTTTATGCAAATTTTAAGAAGTATCAAGCATACTGATGTTAACAAAAAATTCTTTTTTTGAAACAAATTCTTAACCATGCTAATGTGTTTTCCTTTAGAATGTTTTGAAATAAGCTATTACTAAGACGACGTAAGTGCTCACTGATTGGCATCCAGCAGGACGACTCTGACGCCGTCTACCACCCGCTCGGTGTCCATGGGCAGAGTGTGGATGTACTGCTCCTGCACGTGAAGCTTGCTCTTCAGCAGACTGCCAGTGATCTGCAAAACAGGAGGCGCTTATTGCCGGCTCAGTGACATTAAATATGAGGTGTGAAAAAGCACAGTTAATGCTTAGATTTTTAAAAATTTATTATTGCCATTAATCCCCCTCAAGATACACTCCCTCGCTGCCAGACTCTGACCATCAGTCTCGTCTTTTCCTGGAGCAGCTCTGGCACTCCCCTTTTGCGTCTCTGACTACGCTGCTGTGGCTGCCTTCACGGCCTTGAATCAATTCAAAACATTTCCCTCTCACGGTCATTTTGACTCTGGGGAAGGAGCCGGAAGTCGCAGGGTCCCACACGCTGTGAATAAGGCAGACGAAGACACATCATGTTTTAGAAGCTCATCTTTTTCCTGAATGGTAATCGGCAGCAGCAGAGGAAGAGTTTCCGAACTGCTTCAGGAAGAGGCAAGAATGATACACAGGTGCATGGGAAGCAAGGGGGAGTACTTTAAGCGAGGTTAATGGCAATATGTTGTTCATTGTAATAAAAAGTTTAAAATTAAACATTCATAAACTATTTATAAAAATTTTAATATTATTTTCTAAGTATTGGATATATTATAAAATGTTAGAAAATCTTTTGTGTGTGTGTGTGTGTGTGTGTGTGTGTGGCCAGCTCAGCCCACTCTGGGGGCAGGACTGCCGCGGCATGTGGCGCTGGGGATCGAACGTGGTCCCTGTGCTTCGCCTAAGCTTGTCTAAGCAGGTGCTTTAGACCACTGAGCTCTCTCTCCAGCCCAGATCTTGATCACAGTTCGTATTTTGCTTCAGTTCCATTTTAGAACCATCACATCTGAACAATCTCCGTTTACCAGTTTCAAATACTTCCTAAAAAGACAGTATTATACCCCTGCAGAAACACTGGCTCTCCAGCGCCTGTAAAAAACTCACCATTTTCAACATCATGCACAAAACTCTTTGCATCTGGTCCTGACCCACTGCCGTGGATCTGTCTCCTGTGGTTCCCCATGGCATGTCCTAGCTTTTCTAAAAGGTCTAGGTATTTTTGTTTTTATTTCATTTTATTTTTTTGGTACTAGGGATCGAACTCAGGATCTTGTGTCTGCCAGGCTTATGTTTATGGTGCTGAGCTATCTCAACCCTATTTTTGCTTTTAATACTGGGTTTTGCTATGTAATTCGGTTTGGCCAGGGATCCTGCTGCCTCAGCTTCCCAAACGCTGGGATTATAGGCATGGGCCAATACTCCAGACCTGAATTTTCTGAGAAGTCTGGTGTAAGTGCATTTTTCAAGTGCCTTCGTACAAATTCCACTCACTGCCCGGTAAGTTCCCTCCTTTTCCCTCTGGCTGGGAAGCAGACGTGTGTTCAAATTTGGACTCTGCTGTTGCTTGCTCTGTGACGAGGAACACTCACTTCACCTCTCCCAACATCACTTGCTTCACTAAGCAAAAGAGGCTACTTCCTGAATGGTGTGAGGGTTACATCAAATTCTGGCTGAAGCCCTTAATAACACGGATTACAATGTTCAGACTTTAACAATTAGCTTAAGGTATCTCTTTCACCATGAAACTTTCTTTCCACCTTGGTGTACAGCAGAATAAAGTAGTCCTACGAGCTCCAGGCACTTTGCCCCTTACTGCTGTTTGTATTTCCCCTGGAGGCTATAAACTTGAAGTTAGGTATTTTGTCTTTTATATTTATTTAGGCACTCAAAGAAAGTTTCCTGAAGGAAACTGGATTTTTAGTACATCATAAAAGTTTATCTGATCTTATGTAATAAAACACTTTTTAAAAATAGGTTATGCCTGTTGATGTTAAATCATCTGATTTAAAGTCTTGGTCTGCAATCTGTTTTCTCTTATCTTTTTTAATATAATAATTGTATGGTTTTAATTAAATTTTTTTTATAATTACATGGCTTAGAAACCCACCACATCTTACAAAGTTAGAACCGAGACTATGAAAACTTACCTCGCTACAATACACTGGGAATGTGAAGTTTCTGGACAAGCCGGCATAGTGGTCAGAATGAAACTGTGTGAGAAAATAGGCTGAGCAGCCCTCCACCTCACCGTATTGAAAGGCATCGACAGCAAAGCCCGTCCCTGCAAGAGAAACACCGGCAGGGCACAATGAGAGAGAGGGCTAACGGCTACCTGGCTGGACTGTCAAAACTAACCCCTCTCTCCTCCTCCCACCCACCTACAACTGAACTATAATTTCACACCTGTACTACATAATGCAGCAAAAGGTGAAAATAAGTCTTGTTAAGCATCTACTAAATAGCCTTCAATAGAGACTTTTTTTGTGAATAACTACACAAAATATAAGTAAGTATAAAAAAAATGCTAAACTACAAACCAATTACTTTTTTGTTTGGGTTAATACTTAAGTGACATTTTCTGGATGCTTGTCTGCAAAAGAGCAAAAGGAGACTGTTGTAGACTTTCTTCTAAAACATTAATTCTCCACAAGGCAGTACTCATATGCTTCTAAGGAGGCAAAAATGGTTAAGGGCCATAATCATCTTAAAACAGTACAAAAGCTGTGGCCCTCCAAAGGATCACTATCCAATACAAGATGAACAGTATTTCTATAGTCTAAGTTTCATTCCAGGATGTAGTTATGGGGGTGGGGAAAATGCTGAACAACGTTCCCTAAACAGGCAATAATGAAAAGAAGTTCTAAAGTTAGTCATTGGGGCCGGGGAGATGGCTCAGTAGAATAAGCACTTCCCTGGCAAGTGCAAGGGCCTGAGTTCAATCCTCGGTTCCACCAAATAAATAAATAAATAAATAGAGTTTATGAAACTACTCCGTGTGGCAGACAAAATGCATCTGTGTGTAACTTAAGTTCTCGTAGGGCTCACACTACATGATATGATGACATGAAGGTTTGAGGCTCACTGAAAGTACAGAAAATTAATCACAATGACCGTTAAAAACAGAACTGGAGCCTGCGGCTGCCAAATAGCTTAGCGGATTAAAGCGCCTGCAAGCAGGCAGGGGCTGGGGGCTCGATCTCTGGGCCTGCAGAGTGCGATTGTGGTGGCACATGCCCGAAATCCCAGCTCTTGGGAGCGAGTCCCATCTAGTAGTGAGACCCAGAACACTCTGTAGACCCTTCCCTAAAATGCACAAAGGAAAAAAAAAAAAAAAAAAAAAAGAACAGGAGCTGTACTCCACAAATATTTTTAACTAATTGTAGATTTAGAACATGAATAAAACAGCTTAACAAAATTCTTTTGCAATCAAGTGTATTTTGAACACTCTGCACTCTCAGAAGCCACTGGCTTCTTCCATCTTACAATTCATTCCTCGATACACTTCGCTATCAAAACTCATCTTGGAGAGCAAGAGAAGTTACAAGAATATGAAAAGGCAGAGAAACTACTTTTTAATATGGTTTTTAAATGGTTGGCATTGTGACAGATACAACCTGTCAGCCTTTCTCTGAAGCGATGCTGTATTTCTCCCAAGTGTGTAGACACTGCCTTTTATTATAGTTATAGAAATGTCTTTCCTCTTCCTGAAGATTGCTTAGTATCTATTACTTAACAATCTCCCTGCATTCTGTAATAGCCATCTAACTAGTATAGTAACTTGTGTACCAGGAATGTTTAATAAGATCCTGAATGGAGAAAAACAAAACAAGAAAAAACCCCAAAACATGCTAATGGCCCATGAAGTGTCATTAAAAGCAAACACATACTGTACTAAAAAATTATTTCACTCATGGACAATGAACATGAAGATAAGAAATCTTGTGTCTCTGTTGATACACCAAGCACGGATAGCCCAACTTACCGGGTATTTTCTTATAGAATGGACACGTCCTTTTTCTTAATTCCCCTGCATTAGGTGATGCTGAAGCGTCGGTGGTCCCTCTCCGCCGCCTGCCAGGAGCTGATTTTATGAAGGTTTTATCTTTATTTACCTTGACTGTCCCACATTCAGATGCTGCACCGTTAATAAGGTGCCCTGACCTCTTCTCATGGGTTCCTTCCTGTGAATCTGACTTTTTACGTCTCTTTCGTTGACGCTGTGGCCTCTCAGCAGGCAGTTCCACAGACGACTGACTCTCATTTAAATTCTTTGCATCAAATTCTACATCACTTAAAGATGTCTCTGCTTTTCTCTTGCGCCGCTGCCGGGCCCTCTTTTTCTCAGGGCTTGTAACCGGACTTAAGTTCTTCCCTTAAGAAGGCACTTTCCTCCTGCGATTTCTCTTCCTTTCTTTTGGGTGGTAGTCCAAAATACACACCTATATCCATTTGCTTCATTACTTTGCTTAGATGTCTTGTGTTACCTTTAGGACTAGAAGACAAGTTTTCCAAAGCAGACTTAGCAGCAGCAGAGGTACTAGATTTTCCCGTACTTAAGGGCTTTCTGCAGACACATGCCGAGTTGGCCCTGTTCTTAGCAGAGAATTTCTCAACCGATAATTCGCTAATTTTACTTTGGCTGGAAGGCAAAGAAAGACACTGTCCTCCCTGACTTTCTAACGATTCTGACAACTCACAACTGAGTGACGGCAGAGAAGCGTGATTATAAACAGCTGATTCTTTAACTGCCTGTTTCTGTTTGTGTGATTGAGATGAATGAAATTCTGGCTCTTGAGGTTTGGCTTTAGTGTTCTGATAATTAGAAGCTGGAAGCTGCCCTCCTGACGCAGGTGGGGACAGCAGAAAATACCCATCAGCGAATGCTGGATCGAAGGAGATGCGACTCTCAGCTTGGGAGCTAAAAGGAAACGAATCACTGAGAGCGCTGTACTTGTCCTGAGTTAAGAAGCTGTTCGCTTTGGGGTGGATCTCCTCTGGGCTCCTCAGTAAGTGACCATGCAGATTTTGAAACTCAGGAGAGCTGGCATCGTCCTCTAAGCTGCCATCTTTAGAACTTGTGGTAGAAAACAGGTCCTGTTGGGAATCATCCAGCTTTTCATTTATATCGTAAGTTTCCTCGTCACTCTGGAGTGGAGAATAGGAGATTTCGCAGCTGCTGAAGTCATTTGCTGGTACTGGCAAATCTGCGTGTTGTGAGGTGCTTTGGCCATCTGATTCTTTCCCGGTAAAAGCCAAACCAGCTCCTACCAGTTGATCAACCTTAAAAAATCCTGTAGACTGTAGAGCTTGCTGGGACATCTGAATACTTGCAGAGGAGGAAAGCTTTTCATTGGTTTCAGTTGTAAGCTGAGAGGGTTTCGGATTCTGTGTCATCCACAAGGGATCATCTGAAACGTTTTTTAAGTCTTCTGTTTGTCTCTGAGGCAGAGACCATTTTCCTTGGTGGGTGAAAGAAAAGGCTGGCTTGGTCTCACTGGAATTCCCACCTGGCACAGGCAGCCAGCCACTGAAAGGGTCAGTGCCAGCCCTCCTCTGAGCAAGCAGGAGGTGAGTGTATTTCTTATAATGAGAAGGAATTGTTGAGGTGCACAGAAGACCATCTGGACACTCTGAAAATTTTAGGAAAGAAACAGCATTGCAGGGCAGCCTATAAATAAACCTGTAAGTAGAAAACCATCAGGTCTCCTCTGAGGCCTTACGACAATAGTTATTGTGAGCTGGACAATCAAAAAATCAGCAGTAAAATATCAACAATGCAAAATGGCTTTTTACAAGGTACTTCAAAAAACAAAACAAAAATGTTGCTTGTGGTAGCACTGGGGATTGAACCCAGGGTCTTCGCTTACAGCTAAATACTCAGCCCTTTTTTTATGTTTTATTTTGAGATAGGATCTCACAAAGTTCCCCAGGTGGGACTCAAATTTGCTATCTTCCTGCTTCAGTCTCCCAAAGTGCAAGGGTTACCGTGTGTGCCAGCATTACTTACTTTTTAAATTTATTTTTAAGTTAACTACTCTTTTATATTGCTTTTCAAGTAATATTTTCTCCAGAAAATGAGATAACTTTAAAACATACAAGTCAGTACAAAGAATTAAATTTTCTTAATTCTATGTTCAACAACTCAATTTCTATGGAGCCCAATTTTCCACATGCAAAATATGACATTTATTTTAAAAAATAAAATTGGGGCCGGGGAGATGACTCAGTAGAATAAGCGCTTCCCTAGCAAGCGCAAGGGTCTGAGTTCAATCCCCGGTTCTGCCAAAAAACAAAACAAAACAAAACAAAAAAACAAAACAAAAAAGAGATTCCTTGTTTTAGTCTGTAGATACAATATCATGTCCACATCTTGTACAGCAATTAACCACTGGGAGGAATGTATACAATGTGTTAATTATTGAAACTGTCCTACCAATTTGATTTGAAACTGTCTCATAGCTATTTGTTTATCAATAAAATTATGGAAAAATAAATAAATAAATTTGGGCCAGCCAGATAGCTCAGCGGATTAAAGTGCCTGCTTAGGCAGACAAGGGACAGGACAGGGAGGAAGGGGGTGTGCCAGGCCCATCCCCAGGGAGTGCTGAGACAGCTAATGAGCCTGGGCGTGGTGGTGTGTGCCCTAATCCCAGCACTTGGGAGGCTGAAAACAGGAGAATCATTACAAGTCTGATCTGTGCAGTGAGACCCTGTAATAAATACATAAAAAGTTAATAAAATTGTAGCATTACTTCGCTGTTTTAGCACTTCTTTTTGTTTTCTTTCTTGCTTTATTTATATATATTTTAGCAACAAAATTGTGTTCTTTAAAAAAAAAAAACTAGACTACAAACACACTTCACTGCTTCAGCTGAAGAACCCCAAACCAAAAAAAAAGGCCAACATTAAAAGCAACATACTGGTTACTTTCTTAAAGATACATAAAAAGAATCAAAGGCAACCAGTGTAGGAAGACAATTATCTCCTTTTTAGAAATCACAACTTCTTGCAATTAAAGAACGTGACTAATCTGCTGTGTTGAATCAATATGTCTTTCAGGACATGTCACGTCAAAATAAAACAAGAGTCAATCCTTGCTTTTAACAATATTATATCATAACAGCACTTCACAACTCCACCTCCTCCTTGAGTGCAAGCTATGGGGGCTAATGACTATCTGAAAGCATTTCTCTCCAGATCCTCTGAACATTACAAGGTGACAACAGTGAGAAGTGGAGGAAGAAGAAAGAGGAGTACAGTGTTCCCAGTTAAGGTTCTGCTGCAATGCAGACGTGAAGCATGAAGTTATTTCTGTTGTTTCTTCACCTTTATAGTGTGCTAAGTAATGCTTACAGCATAAACTCAGCAGGCCTTTTCTGAGCTATATAACTCAGAACTTTTCTCCCTGCAAACAATGTGTTTACAACTGTGCTTATTAACTTACACAGCAATCTCACAATAACTAGTAAAGACTAAAAGGGCGACTCCTAGTATAGGCGTTTGCAGTGTCTTAAGGTAAATATATTGCCCTGGTGTTGATGCTCCAAATAGTCAACAGAAAGCATCTAAAATGAGTTTCAAAAATGGCAAAGAAATAAGTATCATCAAAAAATTAATTGTAGCTTAAATATAAAACTAAATCACTAATCAACCAAACTATACACATCTAAAAGCAAACCAGCGTAAAAGACCCAATATGTTAAAAATGCTAAAAAATAATAAAATAAGGCACAAATCTGCATAATATTGACTTTTATTTCCATTTTCCTCCTTTTCTTCTTCAAACTTGATTTTCCTGACCTGCCTCTACAGTGATGGTGAACCTTTTAGAGCTTTCAATGATATGAACAGCCTTCTGTGGCACACATACCGCAGGATTTTTGGCACATTTTTATAAGAGTTTTAATCACCTACGATGCTTCCCAGTTCCTTTCACTATAATATACGCTAGTATAAAGAATACATCAAAACCATACTTACAAATCTGAATGTACTTACACTTTTCTATTCAGTTCCAAAGATACAAAATTGGGCAAGTTATTTAACTTCTAAGAACATGCATCTATTAAATGTCACTACCTACCTTGTATGCTGTGAGTCAAGTAAGTAAAAATAAACTGAAAAGTACCTAATACAGTAAAAGCGTTCAATGAACATTTATAAATTATTTTTTGTATTTTAGGGAAGGGTCTACAGGGTGTTCAGGGTCTCACTACTAGATTGAACTCATAGTGATCCGCCTGTTTACAGCCTCCCAAGAGCTGGGATTACAGGAGTGCACCACCATGCCCAGTCTCAATTGCAGTCTCAGTGTGCCCCTTGGGTGGGGCTGGCATAGCAGGCCTGGGGATTGAACCCCTGGCCCCGGCACCTGCTTGCAGGCGCTTTAATGGGCTGAGCTATTTGGCCAGCCTTATTTAGAAACTTGAAATATTTAGCAACTTTTAAACTGTTTTCAGGTTAGCAACTTTCTTTGCCAACAGCCCACTGACTGGGACAGTGTCTCAGTTTTCTCTTGGTTATTACTTGCCCTGCTGTTTCCCTGCACAGAGATGGCTGCCCTACTGCAAGACGTCTAGGCATTTTGAGGCTACTACCTTTTATATAATCTTACCGGCATCAGAGATTGGTGGAGCATCCAAACATTCAAAAACATGCCATCGAGGTGTTTGACCTAATAATGAAGAAAAAGGCATCTGGCAGTTTGGACAGTGGCCATCATAAACCGGACGGATCTTGGGGGACACTTGTCTCTTTTTGTGAGCTCTACCGGGCTTTCTTGGCGTAGCCTCTCCGTCCTGGGACAAGGGAATGTCATCTCCACAACTCGAATTCTGACTTGAAGCTGCACTAGCCTGGCTTTCTCCCAGGCTCTTTTCACACTCTTTCACCGTCTCCTTAGCTTCTGTGGTTCTTGCTTTTTCTCCTTTTTGTTTTGATTGGCATTTTCCATCTATTGGTTTTTCAACAGATTTTGGGATATTTTCAGTACAGTTATTCGTATGTGCTGGTTTTCGTTTTCTTTTCGATTTGTACTCCCAGATGTCTTCTTCCAACAAAGTGTCTTCTAACATAGCAAAAATGACTTTATTATAAAGGAGACATTAATCTTCAGTAAATCGACAGTCCAATTCTTGTCACAAGTTTTTACAATGGAAGTACTTTGCTAAAATAAAGATAACTTACTCACTTGATGAGAATCTATAGCTTGGTAATCAATACATTGACAAACTACAAAAAATATACTTGGGAACACCTGCTGGCCCATGTATATCATAATAAACTCACAAAAACCTATGACGGGGATAGCAATTGTAGTGTTTCACTGCGGCTGCTTTTGCAAAATTCAAGTATTTTGGCTTTTTCTGGGACTTGACTTATAAAAGTAAGACTCAGTTAATACTTTAACATTGTTCGTTCCCTTTCTAGTGGGCTGCTGTCCAAATAATTCACAAGTCTAGTGGCAGCCCCCGGGCGCTTGGCTACCTCGGTTTCCTGGAAAAGTAGTCACACTAAGGTCAGAGTTAGCACACCACGGGCCCCGTGCGTGCCCGGCGGAGCCCGCAGCTTCAGATTCTTCAGCTAGCTGGCGGCGTCTTCCTCCTGCAGCACGGGCAGTCCCTGGGCAGTGAGCAAAGTTCAAACACGTCAGGTCCTGCTCGGCCCGGGTCCCCTCCGTCCCCCTGCGCTGCGCGTCGGCCAGCCCCCTGCGCCTGCGGTCGGGCCCGGGCCCCAGCAGACCTCCCTGCTGCCGGCTCCGCCTTCTCCGTGCATCTCGGGGCCTCACCTGCAGCGCCCCTCGGGAGGGCAGAGCCCCCCAGGCCCCGGCCACCTGCCACCCGCCACGCGCCGCGGGGGGCCAGCTACATCCGCTCCTCTCCGCGCCCCCCGCCCTGGCTCGGCTGTCTATTCGCGCCTGCACTTTCAACACCCCCTGGGCCACCACACACAGCGTCTGTTTGCAGATCAAAGCCGTCCCCACTTAAAAAGCCCTCGCTCCGGAAGGCGCCACATCCCTGTTCTTACCTTCCTCGTCTTGGCGGGAACCACTTCCCGCGGCCAGGGGCGTGACGAATCGGCTGGTCCGGGTCGAAGGGCGGGATCTTAAAAAAGTTTTTTTTTTTTTTTTTTTAAACAAAAGTGGCTTACTGGTTCATTTTATTTTAGTTTTAATGCTAAAGCCAGCCGGTTTCCACGGAGGCGGGTGTGCGAACGGGTGCCCAGAGCCTGCAGAGCTTGGCCCCCAGCGCTCTGCCCGTCGAATCTGTCGCTCCCAATGCTCAGCTGCGCCGCGCCGAGGGCCCCGGCGGGCGGGGTAGGCGGTGACGCCAGTTTAATTACGTGCCCGGGAATTGCGGACATTTGGACTTTGGCCTTCGACCGCGTTCCGAAAAATCAAAACAAGCGCTGTGGGCGCGGCGCCGGCGCCGCCTCCCGACGTGCCCGCGGCCGCCCCGCCTCGCTCGGGCCGCACATGATGGCGGCGGCCGGGGCGCGCGGCGGCGGCCTTTCGGGGCTGCTGCCCGCGCAGACCTCGCTGGAGTACGCTCTGCTCGACGCCGTCGCGCAGCAGGAGAAGGACGACCTGGTCTACCAGTACCTGCAGAAGGTGGACGGCTGGGAGCAGGACTTGGCGGTGCCCGAGTTTGCGGACGGTGAGCGGCGGGCGCGGGGCGCGGGGCGCGGGGCGCGGGGCGCACCCTCCGCCGTCCCCCGATCCGGGCGGCGACATCCCAGGGGATAGTGTGTACTTTAACCCTTCCTACACCACTGATGCGCTCCCGTTCGTCCGGTTTGACAGCTGGGGAAACTGAGGCACGGGGAGACTTAAGGAACTTCCAGCTGATAGCTGCCAGAGCAGCGTTAACTGCAACCTACAGGCCGCAGAGCTTGCTGGTTTTCTAGCTTGTCTTGCCTAGTTTCCCCCGTTCAGTGTTGAGGAAGTTAAATTTTTAAAAATCTGCATCGATGGGAGCCACTGCCGCGTTTGGATTCTGGCCGCGGAGCCCGTGGGGCAGGAGGAAGCGACCCTCGCAGCCAGCCGTGCAGTCTGCAGCGGACCCGCGCCTCGCCTTCTTTGGTTGGAGTGGCATCGTTTCGCCTGGTGATGCTGGCACGTGTCCTGGCATGACACTGAAACCGCATGCATAGTTAATTGGCTGGTGGTGGCTGGGTTCAGTTTTCTCCGGGGAGGTATATCGGAACCTCGCAGCGACAGTCTTGGGTGTCTTTCCGAGCCTTTTGCGCTTGCCTTAAGCCCTTATTTTTTCCATTAACGAATCTTACATAAGAGTTGAAATGTGGAGGGACTCTTACCAAGAAAGAAAATAAAAGGGTGCGTGAATGCCTGTCCCATCGGAGAAACTGGAAAGTATTATGCACACGCACAATAGCGTACGTATACTGTAAGAAGGGAAACTCTACGCCCATGTGTGCGTGGTTCCTAAAAACACGGTCGGGAGATAGTTTACAGAGTACATGCGCTATTCTGAGCGAGCAGGCTCCCGCCGGGATTTGGCAGGATTTTATTGTCTAAGCCTGTTGGCATGCTTTTGGTTACCTCTGGTCAGTCACAGCCTGAACACATTAAATGAAAAATTCCAGAAATAAATAGTTCGTCATCTCGGAATTGTGCACTCTGCTGCATCTGATAAAATCTCATGCTTGCCGCCCTACTTTGTCATGTGCATAGTGAGTCATCCCTTTTTCCGGTGACCGGACACATCACCTTGTCCCCTTATCAGTGTTGTGTATTCCACCCACTCTTAGTCACGGTTATCACATCCTCCAAGGTAGCAGCATCGCTGGGCGTGTGTTCCAGAAATCCTTATTTAACTTAAGGTCATCGTGGCCTCGGAGCTCCAGGGTGGTCCTGGTGGCTAGGATATGCCTGGGAAGCCCCCAAGGGCTTCCTTAAGTGAAAAGGTGAAAGTTCTCAAGAAAAGAAAAATCACACTCGGAGGTTGCTGAGACCTACAGTGAGGATCCGTCTTTTATCTGCCAAATTGTGAAGAAGTAAAAAGAATCTTGTGCTAGTTTTGTTGTCAACGTCTCAACATCCTAAACTGTAGAAGTCACTTGGGGCCTCGTTGCCTGATAAGTGCTTAGTTACCATGAAAAAGCCCTTAAATTCTAAGTTTTAGTGGTAAACTGGCAGTTTCAGGCCTCCAGTGGAGGTCTGGGAACTTATCCCCCATTATTAAGGGAGGAATAATAAATTCATTAACTCTGCCCAACTTTGGGGTTCAGTTGCTAGGAAATATTTCTAAATGCCTACTTCAAGGTATAGTACAAAAATTGTAATAGTTGTAGTATTTACCTACAAGCAGTAAACATTGTAAGTTATTTAGACACAGATGCTGTACTTTCTAATTAACAAAAATCATAATGCAATTAAAATTTTGAATTATAATCAACTCATAAATTCTAATTTCCAAAAGAACAGACAAATGAGAGCCAATTTTTCTTTGGAGAGAACACATTCCTCATCAATATTAACGTTGCTTTGGATTTTGCATTTAAAATATTTTATTTTGTATCTCGTGTTTCATCTCACTCCCAAAACATTTCAGCTTTTCTTATATGAGATTGACTTAGGCATTTTGTATGTTTGCCTTTAAGTACATTTTGTTTTTAAATAGCCATGTCTTCATGCTTTTGAGCTTGGCTTTCATTCTCAGTACCCTATTTTGCCTAATTTTGTATGCAGTTACTTAATATTTGATATTCCCGTTGTTTTTGCCTAGTGGAGTTGGGTTGACTCCTCTACAGACTCGCTCTAGGTCTGATGTAATTGGGTGGCTTTTCTTGCTGTGTGTGCAGACTGCCTCCTAAAGCGGGTCTCCCCACCTTCACCCTTCCACGCCCTGCTCTGTCCTCCTGTCCTCCTTTCTTCCTTCTGTCCTCCTCCTCTCCTCTGTTGCTTTTTTCTTCCCTCTTTGGAGCCTTAGTCTCTGTAGGCTTGGCTTTTTGGTCTTCTCGTTCATGTCACAGATACCTGTTTACTTGTATTAATGAACATATATCGTGTCTTTATTGATAAAAAGGCCAGTTCTCGTAAATGAAATAAACTACTGCAGACTTCAGTGCTGTCATCACTTAAGATGTTGGACTGTTTGCGATAGTGCTAGAAAGAGTCACATTCTAATGGGCAGTTTTAGATAAATGATCTCTGTGTTACCTTGAGTCATTGTAGTTTATTCTGTATACATTTCAGGGTTAGAATGGCTGAACACGGAAAAGCCTATTTCTCTCTACAAGGACCTGTGCGGAAAAGTGGTCATCCTTGACTTCTTCAGCTACTGCTGCATAAACTGTATCCACCTGTTGCCCGACCTCCACGAGTTAGAGCATCTCTACTCCGACGAAGGTACCTGCTTTCTGATGCCTTTCTGACCGACTGACCGGGCCTGGGCAGTAGAAAGCTACCTGGCCCATTCGCTCATGGAAGAATGAGCATTTGGCAAGACGCCATGATTCTGGGCCATCTCTATGAATTAAGGATCAGTATACCTTTTCATGAAGGACGAACTTCAGTGGTAGAGGTTTGTTTAGCTAAAGAACCTGTATTTAGGACAAGGTATACGGAGAGGGTAAAGGCCTGAATTTCTTTCTTCATGATCAAGTATTTTAAAAGATGTTTTTGTATATCTGTACCTAGATTTGTTCTATAGAGAAAAAAAGAAATAGTTGACCCAAATTTTATATTGTTCTTCCTGTGAAGGTTTAAAGTTCTTCCTAGGAAATATGATTAAGCTTTCATTAAAATTGAATGACATGGACTACAGTGCAGTGCAGAGTACTAGAAGATACTTTTTCTTTAACCTTGCTTCTTTATAAAAAGACTTCGTGCGGTTAATGGTTTTCAGAGCCCACTAGGATATCCTCTATGGCATTGTGGAATCTGGAGTTGCAAGAGATTGTACTTAGTATTCATTTTAGAAATTTGAAGAATTAGATTGTTTTCTTACTTTTGTTTTTCTAAAAACATAATGGGAGTAAATGAAGTTGATTAAAGGTTTAATTTAATTAGTTTTAAATTAATTGAATTTCTATTCTTAGACTAGAGAAAAATAGGTAGGGTCACTGATTACGTAAGAGTAAGGATGAGAGGGAGCCGTGGCTCGTGCCTGTTATCTGTGGGATGCTGGGGTGAGAGGGTGGCCAGCTCCGGTCCAGCCTGAACTACTCCGAAATGCCTTCTCTCAAGACAGGAGTAAGCTGGGGAGATGGCTTAGTAGAATAAGCACTTCCCTGGCAACTGCGAGGGCCTGAGTTCAATCCCCGGTTCTGCCAAAAAAAAAAAAAAAAAAAAAAAATCAAGACAGGATACAGTTCTGTGGAGTTCTAGGTCAGTTCTAAGAATTGCAAAAGAAAAAAGGTGGGAGAGTATACATGTACACAAAAGATAGCTTGAGATTTAGTTTTTTACAAAAGGGTAGATAAACTGAGAGGCAAGTGAAACTTCCAGTACCTTTAAATCGTGTTAGTTTGCCGGGTGTGGCGGCACACGCTGGAATTCCAGCGCTAGAGGTTGAAGCAGAAGGATGAGCAGAGCCAGAGGCAGAGAGAGAACTTTGAAAGCAGCAAGGGAAAACCGGTGCGTCCCGGGGAGCCGGAGTTCACATCAGACGTCAGAGGTCGTAGGCCGGTGTACCGACACGATCAGCTGATAAAAGGGAGAACTGTCAGCCAGGGGTCCTGGAAGTGGGAAGCCGTTCTTCCCAAGTGAGAAAGAGTAGGACAGACCCAGATGAACAGAAGCTAAGGGAGTTCTTTCCTAGACCAGTCCTGAAAGAAATGCTAAAGGGAGTCCACAATTTGAAGTGAAAGACAATAATTTGAGCCCTATAAAGAAAAAAATGCCAGTAAAGGAAAATACATGGGCAACCATAAAAGCCAGTGCTGTGTTACTGTAGCAGTGGTGTGTGATTCCACTCTTTGTCTTATACAGGATCTAACGGACCAATACATTTAAAAAATTAGTCTAAGACAGTGACAGTGGCAGGGAACCTACAGTGCATGTGCTGCAGTGGCGTGTTTGTTGTCAGTGACAGTTCTAAAAGGTTTGCCATCCCTGGTCATAGATGTGTGTGGTAGTCCACGCCTGTAATCCTGCACTGTGGGAAGCTGAGGCAGGAGGATTGAATGTTCAGTCCCATTGAGGTGATTAAGTGAAACTGTCTCAAAATGAGAAAAAGAGGTTGGGATGCAGCCCAGTGTTAAGGCCCTGAGTTCAGGTCTCAGCACTGCCAAATGTAGCCCAAAGCCAGTATCACTGTGTCTTTGCTTTATAACGCCACTTTTTTTTTTTTTTTTTTTTTTTTTTTAATAATTCAAGAGACTGATACTGTTGAAATAATTCCAAACCAGTTCTCGGTTTTGGACACATAGTGTATAAAGATGTAACTTTGTGACCTCAGCAGTTGGAAGGGGTGTATGTGGGACTGTTAATGTCAAATGAGCATGTTTTTTAGTGTTAGTGAATTAACCTTGTATATACATTCACAGTAGAGAGATTTAGTGTGCCAAATGTATTTACTGTGCTAAACTTAAAGTCACAAGAGAATAAACACAAAAGGAAATGAGAAAAGAATGTAAACATTTTAGTACAAAAATTTTACTACCACAATTAATTAAACAGTAACAGAGGAAATGAACAGAAAAACCATAAGGTACGGAGCAACCAAAACGTCAGAAACCAGCCTTCCTTATCAGTAATTACTATAAAGTAGTTGGATTAAGATTCCCCAATCAAACGGGGGAGGTTGGCTAGATGGTACAAAATACCCAGCATCAGCTCTAGAGCCAGATATAAATAGGTTGAAAGTAAAAGGATGCAAAAATTCAGTGTAGATACTGTCCAAAAGAGAACAGAGGTGCTTGTGTCAGATGCTATGGGCTTCAAGTCACGAAAGTTGGTTACAGGAGACAAAGTCATTACATATTTTAAGAAGTTCAGTATAGCTAGGAGTTATAATAAAAATTTACATATTTAATACCAGATTATCAAAGTATATGAAGCAAAAATTGACAGAATTAAGGTGAGAGACACAGTTCTACATTAGCAGTTGGAGAGTCTAGTACCTCATTCTCAGCAATGTAGAAAATAACTAAACAAGATAAGGAAATAAAGAATTCAATACAATAAACCTACTGTTATCTAATAATAAACATAGGATATGCTATACGATATCAGATTACACAGTTCTTTTTAAATGCATGTGGAACATTTTCTAGGGTAGACTATGTTAGTTCACAATTAAGTCCCAGTGTATGTTATTTTATTATTTATTTATTTATTTTTGGGACCAGGAATTGAACTTTAACTTTATTTTATTTATTTTGTTATATTTTTTAAATTTTTTAATAGATTGCAAATTGAAAATGAATTATTTACAAACATAACTGAATATAACG